CACACTTCCCTGTGTATAAGAAGACAGAAGTGGCTACTGATGTATCCTCAAGCATGGGACAAGCCATGAAAGAGGACACAAATATGGTATAGCCCCACAGAGGGGCCAGTGGGCAGGTCCATCTTTCATAGATTGAACAGAGCCCTGTTGAGCCTCTAATGAGGGGTGGCAATGGGGTAGGAGTATGGATAGGGTGCTTCTTGGTCCTCAGGAAGGCAGAGGACAGGATAAATGTTATTTGTGCATCGGCTTCACTGTTGGCCTTGTACTCTGTGTCTCAGGTTACAAATGAAAGTTAAAGAAAAACAACTTTCAGGACCAGCAGTTGGCTTAATGGCTATGTTGCAAGACTCCCATGTGGTCGACCACGGTTCGAGTCCTGGACCGGGTGGCTTAAACTCACGCTGGGCGCTTGTGTGTGCATGCCCAAGATCCTGAGAGGAGAATGGACGAGAAAGGCTCTCCCCCCTGGGGGATTATTTCTCGCTTTCTATTTCTCTGTCTTTCTGACTAGTACATGGGCCCTACAGCAAAAACCTCTCCAAAAAAGGAAAAACAAAACAAAACAAAACAAAACAAAAAAACAACTTTCCATACTACACTGTAATTTTCAAAGCACAGTTGAGCACATTATCTTGTGTCTGGCTAAAGTTTCAGCTCAAGATCTGCAGTGGGAAATGTGCTTGCCTTGAAAGTCCATAACCAGGAGGCAGAGGAGCAGGGCCAGGAAGTTCATCTTGGCTTGTCTACAGAACTGTTGCTTCTTCTCTAAGGTCAAGGGCATAGGCATTGTGCAGGTAGTAAATGTCAGGATTGCTGTAGAATTGAAGCCCACATCTCCAGGGTTAAATAGAAAATATCCCTTTGGAGTAGACTTGCATGCCTGATTGCCTCTCCATAGCATTCCTCCAAGGTCTGCCCAGTGCTGGCAGGCTTTCTCCAAACCGCAGCTTTGAACAGTTGACTCAGAAAGTCTAAGTGCCTCTGGTTCCACAGAGGATGAGGCTAAACTGTGTGGAATAGTGATGTTTTCCCATTCCCAGGGTTCCTTTCTAGCTGATGAGACTGAGTTCACCCAGAGACAGCCAGGTATCGGCAGAGTGGTTATAGATATTATTTCATTGCTATAGAGATGAAAAGATTCTTCTGTTTTTGCTCTAATTATATGCCAATATAAGTTAATATAAGTTAAGATCAAGCAGTTAAGAAGGGACAAGTAAACCTGAGCTCCTATGCCAATTTCTGGGGCCCTAGTGGCCTCCTTCATCATTGCTATCTGCTAAAAAGAGAGAGAGCTCTCTGAAACCATGTAACTAGCCTTGGCAGGGACAGATGCAAGAACTAGGCGGGAAAGTGGATCTTCCTAACAGCCCTCAGCATTAGCTGAGATTAGGTAAGAACACCAAGGCAATCACTTGATTTTTGTGTTCCATATCAAAGAGACAATTGAATATTATAGTCATAATTTAGGAAATTTGAGGATTTCCCCAACTTCTCAGCTAAGATATAGCTAGAAAATTGATTCGCAGAAGTTGAATGGTGAATATGTGAAATCATGAGGTTTTGCTAGGCTGACCTATGTGGTAAGGTTCTAGGTTTATGTGTAGAGACTCCTTGACTATGCCAGACGTGTGTGTGCCCATGATCTGAGACTAGCTGAATCTAAGGGTGTATCTAAGAATCAGAACCCAGTTGGGAGAGCTGTCTGTCTGTCATGAAGGAAATAAACAACTTTTAAAATTTTTGTTTTTAAGGCCAGTACGTGGCAGGATGAATGAGGTGTTGTACTCCCACATGGCCGACCACAGTTCGATTCCCAGACTTGGCAGCTTGCAACTCACACCAGACACATGTGCATGTATCCCCCAGATCCCAGAAGGATGATGGAAAAAAAGGGATTGTGGAGTGGACATCCCCTGGGTGGGGGGTGGGGGTGATTTCTCACTTTCTCTCTCACTATCTCTTTCTACCTCTCTGGCAATCAGATACAATCTAAGGGAAAAAAAAAAGGCTTAAGAGAAATTTATTCTTATATAAAGATTTAAAAAAAACATTCCAAAGGTCTTATATGCTAAGGTAATATATATATGTATATATATATATACATATATATATATAACTATTATTATAGTCTATTTTAATTTTGGATGATTGTGTCACCTCAGAGAGCCTGTATCAAATGCATCATCTACCATGAATGAAAAGGGTTAACATGGGAGGCAAAAGTGGATCCTATTTGTGAAGGGGCTACTGACCCTTCATGAGGGCTGGGACTCAGGTTCTGAGGCTATCAAAGATCCAGACCATGACAGCATATGACCATGCTCTGGAAACAGCTGATCCCTAGCTGAGGGCTGGCTCTGCCTGTGCCCTTGTTTGTGCAGTGTCATGTGTGACAGAGCAGGTCAGGTGTGACAACAGAAAAGGCCCTTCTGCGTGGGCCTCTGTGGACTCTGAACCTGGACATAGCTGGTGCTGGGTGCAATCAAGGAAGCTAGGTGATTTTTGATCATGAAGGAGGGAAGGAGAGAAGACGCAGAGGGATTGTTGCATGTGAGTCTTATCCTGCTGTCTCTAATGTGGACCTCATGGGGGCAAACCTTCTTATTGGAGACTCCTTTGATTTAAGCAGAATAGCTGCTTAAATCTAATCTGAGAGTGATCAGTAAAGAGAAATGAAATATATCTTGAATTTTCTAAATTTTCCTTACCATCAAAAGGGAGAAGTGATAAGTATTTTGAATAGAAATACCCTCTAAGAATTAGGATTTGTCCACTCTTAGATTAGAGCCACCATAGATAAGAATTATCATTTATAAAGGGAGCTCTGGGAGGAAGGGACGGGAGATAGAATTGAATGATGGCTGATAAAAGACACACTAGTAAGCCAGCTACCACCAAGGATAACTAGAGGTCAAGTTCATGGGGAAACATGGGCCAGATTCTCTGGGCCACTCCTTCTGAGAGGTGAGCGAGCTGGACAGAGTTGCCTTCCCCAGATTCAGAGAGAGCATGAGAGACAGCCATGGCTGGTGGACATCACTGGAATACAGTGAAAGGAAAAGACCAAAGCTATCTACAGTTATTGCTGATCTACCCCCAAAAAAGTGTGAACTTTCAATGTGGACTTTCATATCACTAGAATAGTCCTAGGAGGCTGATTGCTAGCAAGTTCTTCTGGCACTCGTCTCCCTGGGAAGCAGCAGAGGGTTCACACACAGAACACAGCACTCGGCTTTGTCTATTCAGAGTAATGCACGCAGGAGTCACACCAGAGTCCCCAGGCTACAGGGTTCTGCTGCTGAAGTAGTGAACTGGGCCAGTTGTACTGGGCAAAGACAGATGTGAGACATAGGGGGGTTATTCCTTTTTCTATTTAACTTAATTAATTAATTAACTTCTTTATTTTAATTTGACCAGAGAGGAACAGTGAGAGAATGATGAGAGAGAGAGGTAGAGAGAGAGAGACAGAGAGAAAGCAAGGTGCCAGGTTCAGGACTTGAACCATGGTTGGCCGTGTGGGAGTCCAGTGCCCTTAACCATCATGCCACCTTCTGGCCTCAAATAGGGGGTTATTCTATGTCCTTATTTTACCCAAATTCAAGATATTTTTCCATGTGTATCTGAGCTGATTTGACAATAAATAGAGATCCTTTCTCTTAGAAATGCAGGCAGGAAGGCTACCCTCTGGGGTAATTGTGACCTAGCCACCCTCACTAAGGGGAGAGGACTTATTGAAATGCCCTTACGCAGGTTTCCCTCTCTCGTGCTCTCCATAAAACCAGGACTCAGAAGAGCTGTACCTGAACCTCCAGGAACATGCAGGCAGGGGTCAGTTCAGAGCAGTTTCTAGGTGACGTGGTCTTGCCCTTCTTCCTATTGGGACAAGATTGATTCTAGGGACCTGGTCTGATCCAATGTCTCAAGATTACCTAATTCAGGCTTGTATGGTTAGAAGGAAAGAACAGTGACTTTATTGATGGAATGAGGTCTGGCACCACTAGTCAGCCATTCACCAGGATGAACCCTGGGAGTAATACTAGAGAGCAGAACAGGGAAGAATATAGCAATTCCTACACCAAGAACACAGGTTGGAACCAGCAGTTAGCGTAATGGCTATGTCGCTGGACTCCCACGTAGTTGACCGCGACTCGAGTCCCCGACCGGGTGGCTTAAACTCATGCCGGGCACGTGTGCGTGCGTGCCCAAGATCCTGAGAGGTGAATGGAGGAGAAGGGATTGTGGTGTGGCCATTCCCTCTGGGGGGGTGATTTCTCGCTTTCTAGCTCTCTGTCTCTCTCTGTCTGTCAGGTGAGTGCATGTGACCTATAGCAAAAAAAAAAAAAAAAAAAGAACACAGGTGTTCCCCACTTAGACCTGAGGAGTAGAGAGCCTGGAGCCTTGAATAATGGTGGATCTGTAAGTGACCCACGCATTTGGGAAACTTGTATTATCTTTATGGATCTTCAGTAAGTCGCTTGACCTTATGCTGATAAAAATAGTAGTGTAAGGTTATTACAAAATACTTCTGAATATATGAAACACAGTCCTGAAGTCCTGATAAAATTTCTTTTTTGTAAAGAGACAACTGTACACTCACAGAAATAATGAGTATAACTCAAAGATTTTTTTACCCCGAAACCTAAGCCATTTGAGAATAACTTGAAGACTTTATAGCTCCACCCTCTGATACTTTACTATGTATTCCCTACAAACAAGGATGGTCTATAGAATTCAAATACAACTATAATATACCACTCTATCTAATTGTTGGGTCCATTTCGGGTTTTCATAATTGCAAAATATGTCTTGTAACAAAATGTTCCCTGGGGGAAACACATTCTCTGCAGGTAAATCTATGCTGCCCTAACCTAAACTAAGACTGCTAGAGACCCTGGGCCTGGGTTGAGTTCCTGAGATGACCAGCCCTGCAGCTGCACCTGGCCCCACCTCTTCTCCTGCTCATTTGAATGTTCTCAGGGCACAACCCACGGCCTGAAGACTTATTAATAGGCTGGTCACAGCCTGTGCAGGGTCAGTCCCCATCAGGACACAACATGGACATGAGGGTCCCTGCTGAGCTCCTGGGGCTCCTGCTGCTCTTGCTTCTAAGTAAGGAAGGAGAACCTGAGGATCCCCTCAAGACAGTGCAGTTAGTGCTGCTGGCCCTTCTTGGAAGTCCTTTCATAACACAATTAATATGCTTTTCTGTTTCCACTCTCAGGTGCCAGGTGTGACATCCAGATGACCCAGTCTCCATCCTCCCTGTCTGCATCCATAGGAGAGAGAGTCACCATCACTTGCCAGGCGAGTCAGGGCATTAGCAAGTGGTTAGCCTGGTATCAGCAGAAACCAGGGAAAGCTCCTAAACTCCTAATTGATGAAGCTTCCAAATTGCATACTGGGGTCCCCTCGAGGTTCAGTGGCAGTGGGTCTGGAACAGAATTCACTCTCACCATCAGCAGCCTGGAGTCTGACGATTTTGGAGATTATTACTGTCAGAAGTATGACAATACCCCTTGCATGGTGTTACAAGCCCGAACATAAACCACTAAGAAAGGCAGATGTGTGAGGCTGGGCTGCCACAGCTGCTCCTCCTGAGGCTCCATCTGCTGAGATGTTTCTCAGATGCAGCCAAGCTTTTCAGTCACTGGAAGGTTTTGGTAGAGGGGCCCCGGAGGCTCTTCTGCACCCCAGCTCTCCTTCCTCTTCCTTCTCAGCTCCAGCAACAGACATGACAATGCCTCTCCTAATTTCATTAAGGACACAGATGATTACACTTGCAGCATCACTTGGTATTCATACAGCAAAAAGAAAGCCACTGTAGTCATTCCAAGCAGGAGATGTTTTAATACTGAAAATCAGTCTCAGATGCAACTTTTCAAAGCCTATGGTAGGTTTTCCTTTCTCTCTTTCTTTCTTTTTTTATTTTCCTTAAAACTTAAATTCTTTACTATTCAAAATTTGTCCTGAATCCAGAAGCACCCTCAGTATTTCTGAGAGCACATTAGAAGTAAAAAATAGTAGACCAACCTGAGAACTACTGAGTGAGTGCCTGCATTTTAATACAATAACAGGAGATTTATATAAGGTCTAAAAACTATGATTTAAGGGTTGGTTACCTTAGATAAATTTTTTTTTCTCCATTTGGACCATTTACAAAACTTCTTTTTAAAGCTAAATGTTCAAAATGCACCTAGTTTATTTCCTAGTCAATTGAGCCTTCCATCTGAAAATGTTTCAAAGATTGTAAAATTTGAAAAATATTATCATCTTTATATGGAATAATCCAAAATGTTAATATTAAAAAGGAGTAAAGTTTTTTTTAAAAATTTGAGAAATTACCAAGATAAACAATATCAAAAGTGTGTTTACCGGTGTCAGAGATTATTAAACGTACATTCAGTTTGTGGGTGTTATTTACTCCTGCGACCTTCCATGAAAAGGTTTTGTAAACCAAACTAAATATTCAGTGGTATGAGACATTGGATTTGAAGTGGCTGGTTAGCAATCATTATTGTGCAAAAATTGACTTTTACAATATTTACACATCTACCCATATATATTTTATTAAAACTGATGCCATAAATATTTGAGATGAATTTATAAAGAAATTAAGAAGAAATAGACATGATGGCAGACTAGCAACACTCAGTGATATTCTTCCCTATCAAGAAAGTTTTAGAAAAATAAGTGCAGGGGGGATAATTGGTGACATTCTGAGCAAAGGAAGAAGGAATTAGCATTTGAACCCAGCAAGGCTCCAAGACGAAGACTCTGAGGCACAGAGACTCAAGATAAAAACAGAAACAAGAACAAGTACCAGACCACAAGTGTCCTGGGCACAATGGGAGTTTTGATCCATGAAGAATAGTTGACTGGAATTGGCACACTGAGGGGTCAGAGCCTGGGTCCTGTCATTTGTGCAGTTGTGGCTTTCCTGGTGTCTGCCCTGCTGGGACTGAGTATTGTCTTTACTACATCTTACAACGCATGAGGTAGTTCCAAAGGCCTTTGGGAAAGATCGTTAAACCTCCTAGGATAGTTGTGTCTGGAAGATATATTTCTGACCAACTCCTCTTTTCAACCAGGTACAATTATGCACTAGCAAGGATGTCTAGACACATGGAGAAAGAAATAAGAAATGGAATCACAGGCTTGTGCCAAACACCCTCTGGACAGACCACAACATGGGTGAGGCAGGAGGACACACAGATTAAATTCTGTGACCACAGGACAGAAATTCTCTCAGGCTGAGCCAACACCCTCTTCGGACCTCCTGGCATGAGCTGCTCCAGTGCCAAGCAGAGGAGGCAGATCGACTCTGCTGCTGGAAGCCTAACTTGCCCTGCCCCCAGCTACTTGGCATGGACCTCTCAGTCCACCATGGGCAGAACCCCCATCAAAGCCTGTGTCAGAGCGCTGGGGAAGGGCTGCCTCAGTCAGGGCTTGCAGTGAACCATGGAAACCCCAGCTCTACTTCTATGTCTCCTCTTACTCGGACTTCCAGTAAGAGAAGGTTATGATGGTTCTGCACATCCATGAACACTTTCTTGATGTTAGGTCCCATGACTTATCACCTCTGTTCAGCAATAATAATAATAATTAAAGACTGATTTAGATACATGGTCTTAACTGCAAGACAATGGGTACTATCCAGACTACATGGGTGATACTTGTGTTTAGTTTTCAAACTCAAATACTGCCAGATCTCATGATGACAGACTTCATCTTCCTGGTTCTCATCTATGGGTGAAAAAGGCCCTCTCACTTGCAGGGCCAGTCAGTTTGGGCAGCTATTTGGCCTGGTACCAGAAGCAACCTGAGAAGGCCCCCAGGTACCTCACCATCTGATCTGGGACATATCAATCTTAACATATTCAAATATAATTCAAATTTATACAAAGTGAATTCTAATGAGATAAAGAAATATTTCTCTTTTTTTCCCCCAGGTTTCTAAATTTTATTTCAAGTACTATGAATTTGCTAAATGAATTTGATAAGTGTTAAATACATTTGGGAGTGGGAAATCCTGTAACTTGCTTTGAAATGGTAAGAAATAGTTAACATGATAGGCTATCACTCCCAGATGACGTCACCTTATGTGAGACTTCACCTAACTAGTGAACTCACTGTGGAGACTCTCAGTTGCTGAGAATGGCCTCCATCTGACAGCCAGCAGTAAATTGGAGACCGTATAGCAACAATGATATGACTTTTACAATGAACCTGAGTGAGTATGGACTCACATCTGTTGCCAATCAAGCCTTCAGATAAAGGCAGCTCCTTGGGTCCAGCAGTTAGCATAATGGCTATGTCACTGGACTCCCATGTAGTCAACTGCGGTTCAAGTCCTGGACCCGGTGGCTTAAACTCACACCAGGCATGTGTGCGTGCGTGCCCAAGATCCCGAGAGGAGAATGAAGGAGAAGTGATTGTGGTGCGGCCATCCCCCCTAGCGGGTGATTTCTGGCTTGCTGTCTCTCTTTCTCTCTGTGTTTGTCTGGCGAGCGCATGCGCCCTATAGCAAAAAACTCTCTCAAAAAAAAAAAAAAGAAAAAAAGATAAAAGCAGCTCCTCAGCTGACACCCTGATTACATCTTTACAGAGTATCAATTAAGACATACCCAACTCCTGACCCACAAAAATCAGGATGAAACACGTTTGTCGTTTTAGGCCATTTGATTGTGGTAGTTTGTTAAGCAGCAATAAATAATCAGCACAACTTTAATTAAAATAAATACAAAGAAAATTGTTCAATGGGCACTGCAGTGGATAAAATAAAAGTCTTATTTTTCATCCCTAAGACAAAGTCACTAAGATGAAAGAGTTCACAATCTAGATGGAAATATTACACAAAATTAAATAACATTTTATGATAACTAAGCATTAACATAGGGTATCTTATGATAAATTACCAAATAAATGAGGCAGTATAAGCTCTCTAAACTCATTGTTCAAAGAGAAATCACTGGGGACCAGCAGTTAGCATAATGGCTATGTCGCTGGACTCCCACGTAGTCGACCGCGGATCGAGTCATGGACCCGGAGGCTTAAAACTCATGCCGGGCATGTGTGTGTGCATCCCTAAAGTCCCAAGAGAAGAATGGAGGAGAAGGGATTGCGGTGTGGCCATCCCCCCTGGGGGGTTGTTTCTGACTTTCTGTCTCTCTGTCTCTCTCTGTCTGTCTGGTGAGCACACGCGCCTTATAGCAAAAACTTCTCCAAAAAAAAAAAAAGAGAAATCACTGGGTCCCAGAAACAGTTTATGACAGAAGTAGAGGGAGTCCCACAGTTCTTGCAGGATAAATAAGACTTACTTTGACAGAGAGGAGATATAACACATTTGAGACAGGAGGCATAACTTCCTTAGGAAAACAGTGAACACACTCCGATCTTTGTAGAATGGAATTGCCATTTCCATGGGATCAACAGTTACATGATCCAACAATTAGAAGACTTTAGCAAGTTACTTTCACTATGAAATGAAATATAATTTCTATATGACTTTATTCCTACTTTAATTTTGTGCTTATTGCTCCTATATATATTTCTTCTATATATTTATAAGCCAAATCAAACATACTGATGCAGGAACTTGGAATGATCAGGTTCAACACCAGAGCTGAATCCAGAGCTGCAAGCTATCCACGTTCTTGACTCATGCATGTGAAGAATTAAGAGATGTGAGCATAGGAAAGGGATAGCAAAGTGGAGTTTATTAAGAGAGGTGAAGAGAAACAAAGCTCCCAAACAGGGAGAGATCCTAGGAATGGGTTGCTAATGAGGAGCTGGGGCAAGGGATTTTTATCCCAGCAAGGAGAGACTTGTGTAAGCATTCCCCTCATGGGGCTGCATGTCAAATGATTCATCATCCTCCTATTTGGGAATAGGCTCACAAATCATAAGAGTTTAGACTAAATGACCTTAATTAATTAACATTCAGTACATCTTTGTCTGAGGTCTGTGGCCCATAAAGTTTCTAGTTTCTATCAAGTTTTCTACAAGTCTAAGACAAAGCTTTGTTCTTTGATGTAATTTTTTCTTGTGCTTCTAAATTTTGATCTTATATAGACCCTCTTATCTTCCAGGTGCAAGCATGTATGTCATGTTTCCCATTTCTCAAATGATAGCTCATGGCAACTTATTTATTTTTTTCTGAGAGAATTTTGCTATAGGGTATATGTCCTTGCCAGAGAGACAGGGAGAGACAGAGAGACAGAAAGCATAAAATCACCCCCTACCCAGTGGGGATGGCCATGCCATAATCCCTTCTCTTCCATTCTCCTCTTGGGATTTTGAGCACAAATGCACACATGCCTAGCTTGAGTTTCAACCCTCTTGGTCCAACACTTGAACCATAGTTGTCCAGTGATGTAACCATTACATCATGTGCTGGTCCCAATGGCAAGGTATCTTTGCTCTCTTGTTCTCCAGACCAAGAGAGACTACACTCTTTGTTTGGAATGTAGCACTGATTTGTCAGTTTTAGTTATCATTATTTAAGCAGGCTGTAAGCGGCTCTGGCTGCAAATAGTTCTCTATGT